GCCCCACCACCACCACCACCACCACCACCAACAAAGCATCAGCAGCGTCGACTACGGCTTCCAGCGGAGACATTCGCCGAATGTGTGATCTGGCTTGCCGTGGCGCGGTGACTTGACGGCACTCGTCGAATTACAGCCGATGATACCTCAGGCGCAACATGGACGTGGACGACGATTGCGACTCTCTGTTCGGGTCTGGTGGCTCTGATTGCGGGGACGCTGAGGCTGGTCAATGCGGCACGGCTGACGAGCAGTCGCACGTTGCAAGTCGGCAAGCTCCTCCCATCCCGGGACTCTTCTTCTTTCCTACGCTGCTTTCGCGCGAGGTGCACGATCGTATTCTGGCGCAGGTGTCGGAACGCGGATACTTTAGCCTCGACGCTGATGAATACGAGCGCCTCCCTGGCGGAACGAAATCGACCGGGCTCAGCAATGGCAAGGACGGATACGATCGATCGCCGCGGAATCAGGCGATGCTGTTCGCAAGGTCGCTGCCATCCGAGGCTAGTGATCAAGCGGATGCGGACAACAAGACTAGCACTGGCTACGACGGCGCAACAGATGATCAAGACGCAGACGCACAAGCCTGCTCGGGCCTGCCGAGCTGGGCTGTCGAGCTGATCCAGCACCTCCGGCAAATGCTCTTGTCCCTGAGCGACTATGAGCTGCCACTCGAGACCAAGCAGCTCGTCTTTCCTCCTGGCGGGCTATTGTCGCGCCAGCTCATTCTCAACCTGTATCGGGGCGGCGAAGGACTGGCGTCGCACGTGGATCTGGTGAATCGCTTCGCCGACGGCATCCTGCTGTGCTCGTTTGGGCCGAGCGGGTGTGGCACGGTGATGGAGTTCACGCACGCGTCTGGGAAAGTGCATCCGCTGTTCCTGCCTTCGGGGTCGGTGCTGCTACTGTCGCGCGAGGCTCGGTACGAGTGGAAGCATGGCATCCCGGCGCGCAGCATCGACCTTGTGCGTTCGTCCGACGATCCTGGCCACGTCGAAGCGATCGCTCGGTCAATCCGGCTGAGCATCACGATTCGCTCGATGCTTCCGGGCGCCGACATTGTAGGAGAATGAAATTCAATATACCCATGAAGCAGCAACGTTGCCGCACACCATTGCATGCATGCGAGCGTGTGAGCTGGAGGTGCCCGTGTTGGACACAGTTGGTTTGGCGGACGGCTGTCCGGCTCGGCGTCTTGCGGTGGGCCCGGAGGGCAACCTAACAATCATGACGCCATTCCAAAGCGGCCATGGGCGAGGGGAGTTCATGGCTCGGAGAAGTGCGTCTCAGCTGCGCACATGTGCGACACGGCTGCAGCCGTCGAAAAATTTTCCTAACGCTCGGCATGCTGAGGCTGGGCTGGCTCGGCTGGCTGGGCTGAGCGCAGTGGCACGGTTCGTTTTCTCGTCTTCCGGACATCCGCTCAAGCGCCTGTGGAGAAGGACTCTAAAAAAAAAAGAAAAAGTTGGTTTGCGCCAAGGCCAACCCGAGCCAACGCCATCATCCTGTCTTCCGCCCTTACCGCTTCCCGCTTCATCTCATCACTCTCATCCGTGTCACCATCCAACACCCACATCACAATGTCGCTCGACCAGCTCCCCGATGACCACTTCCGTCCTACGTACGAGGAGATCCACGTGCAGATCGGCGAGGCGGCTCGCAGGATCAAGGGCGAGTTCGACCCGGATCTCATGGTGGCCATCGGCGGCGGTGGCTTCTACCCTGCGCGTGTGCTTCGTACGTTCCTGAAGAAGCCGTCTGCGCTGGACCCGAGCAAGATGCGCAACATCCCCATCCAGGCGATCGGCCTGAGCCTGTACGAGGAGGTGTCGGGTACGGCCGAGGGGCAGATCGGCAACGAGGTGGTGCGCACGCAGTGGCTCGACGCCAAGACCGTCACGGGCCACAAGGGCCCCGGCAAGATCGAGGAGGGCAAGGATGCGGGTGGACTGCTGGGCAAGAATGTGCTGATCGTCGACGAGGTGGACGACTCGCGCACGACGCTGCAGTACGCCTACTCGGAGCTGCTCAAGGACGTCAAGAACGCCATCGCCAACCTGTCGGCCGAGGAGCGTGCGAACCTGGCACCCACTCGCTTCGCCATCTTTGTGGTGCACAACAAGGAGAAGGCGGGCGGCAAGCGCGGCACGCTTCCCATCCTGCCCAAGCAGCTGGCCAAGGGCGAGGACAAGATCGTGGAGGGCGTCAGCGAGGGTGTGCGCTACTACTCGACGCAGGACATTGGCGACGTGTGGATCTGCTACCCGTGGGAGGAGGAGGACATTGTGGAGCACAACCGTCTGGCTGCGCTTGCCAAGAAGCTCGGTGTGAACCAGCCCAACTGAACCACCAAAATTTTCTGCCCTGCCGCCGCCCTTGTATATCATCCCGTCTCGTGTGATTTCACGGAACCACTGTATATTGTATAGTCCGCTTCGTGCGTGTGACGAGTTTCAGTGGTGCAAAAGGTATATTGGCTGTTTGCTAGCGCAGCCAGTGATGGCAGTGGAAAGCGGCTAGGAGGCTGCTGGCGACGAGAGCGCTTTGCGGCCGTCTTTGAGCAGCGCTCTGCATTCGGCGGCCACTTCGCGTACGCCGCTGACGCCGGCATCGGTCCATGCAGCAAGCACGGGTTCCATTGTGCCCCACAGATGCTCTGCCTGCGCCAGGCCGGCTCTTCTCGCCTCGGCATCTGGTTGCAGAGGAGCTGGTGCGGCGTCGGTGTCTGCGCCGGCATGACGGCACTCGATGAGATCTGCAAGGCTGGTTGGGAGTGTGACGATGGGTTCGAGGTCGAGATCGCGTAGCGCTTGCCCGTCGTCGTCTATGGTCGGGTGTGTGGATGGCTGCGGTGGCTTTGGACGAAGCGAGTCGAGATGCGACGAGAGGGTGGACATGGATTCGAAGCACGACTTGAGCGAGTCGAGCGACGGATCGAGCGACTCTGATCTGAGCTTCATGTTGCGTATTGTGTCGCTTGCTGCGACGAGCTCGTGGTGGTGGTTGTAGACCAGGCTCTGGCGTTCGCCGTCGAGTTCGCGGATCTGGACGATGAGTTCGGACTCCTTGCCAAGCAGCACGCTGAGGCTGTTGGAGCGCAGCAGCGAGTTGAGATCGACGTCCGGTCCCGCGCCCTTCTTCTTGGAATCGCCCGCGGTGGAGTCGAGCGATGGAGAGCTCGAGGCGGATGGAGCATCCGAGGAAAGACCGTAGTAGTCGCGAAGCAAGTTGGCTGCGCGTCGCTTGTCGTTGCGCATGCGCGGTTTGGGGGCACTCGCCTCGGCGCCAGAGCCGGAGGCTGTGGTCGTGGCCATGGCGGGTGAGTTCAATAGCAGCCGAGTGTGGCCGAGGTGATGGTCTTGGGGATGGAGAGGAGGAGGCGTGTTGGCGCGTGCCTGAGCGCCACCTTTCGAGTGTTGGGCTCAGTCGATTTTGGGCGTAAGCAGTAACAGCGATGGCCTAACATTGCTAAATTCCCATCTCGCTGTCTTCTTGGCACAGCCGGTGGAGGCGGGCGGGCCGACAACGCTGCGCTGCGATGCGATGCGCTGCTCTGTGCTGAGCCCTGACTGACGAGTGCAGCGGATGTGCCGCTCGCACTGGCCGACTCACTGACTGCCGACAGGAAGCGCCAAGTGGGAGGAGTGTGTCATGCCAAGCAATCCTCGCTCTTGCCCACCTTCATTCCACTCCACCATCCCCCTCCTCCCCACTTGCTCCACTTCATCTGACTCGGCCTCGCTCGTCTCCACACACGTCGATAGCCCAGCATGGTGCGCACACCGTCCATCGGCTCGGGCGACAAGGACAAGGAAAAGGCCAATGCAACCTTGTCCTCCGCATTCGCTTCCATGATGGCCGTCGGCGCTCCTCATCACAGCACGCGCAACCCATTCGCCATCGGTCAGCTCAAGATCGCAGACTCCACCGACTCGCACCGCAGTCGCAGCGACCGTTCCGCTGCCTCCTCCCACCACGACGACGAGCGCTCCCAGAAAAAGTCGAAACGTCTCAGTGCATTTGGACGATCCGGTCGCAGCATCTCACCCTTCCGCTTCAGCTCAAGAAAACGCTCCTCCTCCGCCAACCGCCTCAAGATCAACCCGGACGACGATACCGGCTCAGAGAGCGGTCCGCGCAGCGAGAGGGACCACGACAGCGACAACGACTCGGTCATCAGCTCCTCCTCCGGGATCACTCCCAGAAATAGCGCATTCTACAATCCATACGACGACGACGATCCCGACGCCGCAGCCCCTCACTCCCACCGCAGACCTCATCCCGCGTCTCCCAACGCACCCGCCGTCCCATTACCCAAATCCTCCTCGTCCACCAGCCTCGCCTCATCCACCCACGACGATCCCCACGGCGCCGAGGCGGATGTCGAGTCCGACGACGACGCCTCGGACGCCTCCGACCTCGACAACAAGCTCTCCTCGGCAGATCCACAAGACGACGACGATGAGGACGACCAAGACGACGACGAGATGGACTCGATCGTGCTCGACAACACGCTCTACAACGCAGGCTGCCTCACCAAACACGAGCACTGGAACGGCGAAAGCAAGTCCGAAGACGGTCACCACCACTTTGAAACCTACGAGGACGAGGACCTGGAGCGCGACGACGAGCACATCACCGCTCCCAACGTCGTCCTCAGCGAAGACCAGGTCTCCACCTTCCTCCTGCGACGCGGCTCCAAGATGCTTTCGCTCGCCACCTCCCGCCCGCGCTTCGAGCGCAACCGATGCACCATCACCATCAGCCACGGCGACGCCGATGCTGCCGCCAAGGCGAGCAAGCGTCCAAAGCGCTACGTCGTCGCCAGCGACGGTTCCGAGGAATCCTCCTACGCCGTAGAGTGGACCATCGGCACCGTGCTCCGCGACGGCGACGAGATGCTCGTCGTCTCGGTCATGGAGACCGACACCAAGCTCGACGCGCTCGACCCCAAGCACGAAGAGGTCTCGGCGCGCATGGAGCACCAGCGCATCCGCCAGGCCATGGCCTCGGTGCTCGCCAAGCAAGCCACCCACCTCCTGGAGCGCACCCGCCTCGAGGTCAGGATCTCGTGCCAGGCCATCCACGCCAAGAATCCGCGCCACATGCTCCTCGACCTCATCGACTTTTACGAGCCCACCATGGTCGTCGTCGGCTCGCGCGGTCTGGGCTCGTTGCGCGGCATCCTGCTTGGCTCCACCTCGCACTACCTCGTCCAAAAGTCGTCGGCTCCCGTCATGGTGGCGCGAAAGAGGCTCAAACTTCCCGCGCTGCCGCGGGGCAAGGGCGATGTGGTCGAATCGGTGCGCGCGCGACACATGCGTCTCGACCAGGCCTCCATCGAAAAGCTCTCCAACGTGGGCGAAGACGACAAGAACGACACCGCCGCCGACGCCGACGCCGACGAAGCAGCTGCGAGCGAAGACGTCTCTCCCGACAACGAAACGCCCGACGCGAAAGGCGTCGAGCAGGCTTCGACTGATGCACAGACGCGTGATCCGGCACCGGCAAGGGCGAGCACGCCTCCACGGCGCACGAGTGGATCCGACGACGGCAGCTCGTCGGTGGCCAAGGCTGGAGGCGAAGGCAGCCCCAAGCTGCAGCGCAAAGGCTCCAAGGCCGGACCCACGGTCATCTCCAACACCTCGCTCGAGCGGGAGGCCGAGACGCGCAAGCAGATCCAGCAGCGCAAGGAGGAAGCGGCCAAGCTGCACGAGGGCGACAAGAAGCGCCACGTCTTTGCGCACTCGTCCGACCACCTCAAGACTTCCAAGAGTTCCAGCCGTCCGGGCAGCGAAGACGACACCGATCCCACCGACGACGAGCCCAAGTCGGCGCAGCTGCAGCACAAGGACGCAGCTGCGCATGCGGCAGATTAGAGTTGTTCATCATACGCAGGCTGAAGGGAGAGTGCAATTTCAAGGGTACACATGCGTCTGAAAAGACGCGCAAGGTCCAACCGCGGTGCGGGCTGTGGATCCGATCGAAACGAAACGCTAACGAGAGGGACAAGTGCCAAGAGGCGAAGAAGCGCCGCCGGCACAGTCGCACGGCTCGCACGCCTGTTTGTGGTGGGGGCAGAAGGCGAGCTGGTGGGTGAGGTCCTTCCAGGTGGATTTGAGGAATCCGACGTACTGATCTACGCCGAGCGCCTCGAGGTTGATGTTGGTGGCGTGCCTGACGTGCTTGACCGTCTGGGCCGCCTCGAGCGAGAAGCGCTTGGCCGCCTTGTTGAGTCCGTGCGAGGTGGTCTTGGCTGCCTCGATCGAGTGAGCGCCCAGCTGCACCAGGGCGGGGCCGACGACGGTGCGCTGGTAGTTGGCCGACTTGCGTGCCGTCTCGATGGTTTGCTGCTGCATAAAGGCGAGCGCCGGGCGGAGCTGGTCTCGGTTGTACTGTGCGGTCCATTCTGCGGTGTGGTGAGCGGTGCGGACGGTGTGCTTTTGCAAGTTGGACAGCGCGGGGACGACGTGCTGCTGGTGATAGCGATGGGCTCGCTTGGCCGCCTTGGATGCTTGATCGGCGGTGCGATGCGCAGTGCCGACGGCGTGCTTTTGCAAGGCCGGAAGGACGATTTCTTCGTGGAAACGACGGGCATGTTGAGCTGCGTGCACAGCCTGTAGTCGCGCTTCGATGATGGAAGGCCTGAGTACGACGTGGTAGTAGCTGTCGAGCTGTTCGATCCAGTAGTCCCACGAGGCCGTGGTGGCGTCGGCAAGGGAAGAGGCGTCCGAGAGCATCGGGAAGACGGGACGATCCACGGGGACATAGGCCACCCGCGAAGCCAGCGGCGCCAGCGGGTTGCTGCGACGTCGCGCCCTCTGCCTTGCGACTTTGCAAGCACCATTGGAGGATGGTTTGGCGCTCGATCCACTGTGCGCTTGTGGAGCGAGGTTCAAGGCTTTCGGGGTGGTCACGGGTGGCTGCAGCGCGGTGGATTCGCGCTTGGACCTGGAGCGCTTGTCGCTGACGGTTGCGATGGATGCGGGCGCCGAGGTCGAAGGCAGAGCGACGAGGGGCTTGGCGAGCCAGTGTGGAGGCTGAGAGGTCGCGAGCGAGCTCTCGCTGGAAGGGGCCTGTGCAGCTGGAGTGACGAATTTGGCTGTGGATTGGGACTGCGTAGCATTGATCTGAATGTCGGACGTGCGCCAGCCAGGCAGAAGCGAGTTTGAATGGAAGGGGACGCCGAGGAGTACGGCAGCGAGCAACATGAGGAGGCAGGTAGTCTTGGGAGAGGCCAGAGCGGTCCGCCTCAGATGAAGTAGCGATGCACGCGTGCGTTTAGATTCGCCAAAGAAGGGGTCGTGGGAGGTTTGAACGCGGTCAGGAGCAGCTTGAAGACTGGTGGCTTGGATTCCATGGCGGAGCTGCTCCACTTTGGGCGTCGTGGGCTCGAGGAGTTCGGGCTCGAAGGACTCGGACTTGATGGATTCAGGCTCGAGCGATTCGGCCTCGAGTTGTACGCGCTGTGCGGGAGGAGGCAAGCTGAACGGTTCAGGCTGCGCGGGAGAGGCGATGGTGCAGATCGAGCTGGAGTCGAGGTTGGCCTCGCTAAAGATGGCGGCGGGGTCAGGAAAGTGGAAGCGGGACTCGTGCAGCGCTGGACTGGGAGGGGCGCTTTGGTCGTCCGAGACGACGCTGGGAGCGATCGAGTGGGTTGAGGAGGGAGGCTGCGGACGCGGATCGTCGTCAAAGTCGACGAGCTCGAAATCGGACGAGGCGTCCTCGGACTCGATCGTCGAGATAATCGAGATGCTGTCCGAGAGGTCGGTGTCGTGTACGGACGACATGGTTGCAAGGTGTGGTTGTTGGCTGCGACGGTGTGAAGATGGATGAGGGGAAGGAGATGGGGAGGTAGAGAGGTGGGAGGCGCTATCGGTGCTGAAAGGGCTCAGTCGCTGCTGCTGTTGGTGCTGCTGCTGCTGCTGCGCCGATACTGTAGCCACGCCCTCGTTGCGCAAAGACCATCCCCCCAAGCGGGCACCAGCGCAGTGTGTTGCCCTCCTGAAAGCGCTTCAGCCAGCCTCTCCTGTCTCGATTTTTTTGGCGCGGCTTTTTTGGCAGGAGAACCCTGCATGAATGCGCAGCGGAGTGCATCCGAGAGGGTCCGAATTCTTCATTATGTTATGTCGCATTCTTTCACAGCTCAGATCGGAAAAATCGATCCAACGCGATCTCGGAAGATGGCCCAAATCGGCGAGGCCTCGACGAGAGCACGAGCAACCGACCTCCGTTCCTTGTTCCCTCTCACCACCCTCCCGCTCGCCATCAAGCAGCCTCGCTTTTCACTCGGCGCAGTGACACCAGCCTGAAATCGCGCTCAACCTCCAGGCTCGGTCTTCTGCCTTCGTCTTCCCCTCCGGCTGCATCCCGCAAAAGCACCGGCTGACATGCACGCCTAGACGGCACGACCGACCCTCCTGCTCGTGCAGCATCGATTCACTCACCCGTCGCCATCCTCGTCAGGCTCAACGTGCACAAGACGAACTCAGCCGCAATGGCGCTTGCCGCCGCCCTCGAGAGTCCAGACGCCTTCGTTGCCGACTGCTTGTCGCAATCCAACCAGCACGATACGCAGCAACTGTAAGTCTCCTCCACTTTGGCATCGCAAGGCCACCAACCCGACTCCTCCAAAGTCCATGCCAGGCGCAGCCTCCTCCGTCATCCCATCCACCGCAAGCCAACTGACCCAACCTGTCCCGGTCACATCGGCGCGTCGCATCGCTCGCTGCTCGCTCGGTATGCCCCCCTACCCTTTCTCCTCCTTGAATCCCCGCAGCCAACAAGCACTCCACGATGCACTCGAGCGCTCAAATGCCGATCACGACGACCTCTCGCTCTCATCATTGCTGCTGGCGCTGCTACGCCAACACTGCCTCTCGTCGCACACCCCCGACAATGCGGCCTACCAGCTCCTCGCACAGCTTCACCAGCACGCAACCTCGACAGAGTCGCAATCCATCGTCTCCGACTGCCTCCTCGACGCGATATGGAGCTTCGATCTTGAACTCGAGTCTCGCAACGATCTCGCGGCATCCGAGTCAGCAGCTGCACAACCTCCCTCGCTCGCCTTGCACCCGCACCATCCCCTTCCGCTCGCCCTCGCACGCCAAACCCTCGCCGCTCTCGTCGCCGATCTCCTCTCGGCTGCCGTACTCGCAGAGGATCACGTGAGCGAACGTCTCGAGCACTCCCTCCTCGCCCTCGTCGGCCTCATCCCAAACGAAGTCTACTTCAACAAGCGCTCCATCCAGCTCCGCACCGCACGCCTCTTCAAACAGCAAAAGTTCAACCTCCTTCGCGAGGAAAACCAAGGCTACACCGCTCTCATCACCGAAATCGTCACCAACCTCGGCCCGCCCACCATCGCCGTTCGCCACAATCTCGACCCTGCCACCCAAGCCCAACCGCAAGGCTCCATCTTTGCACCCGATTCCGCCTCTGTCATCGAGCAGGAATCCCCTGCACTCCGCAATCGCCGTGCAGCGCGCGTCATGAACAACATACAGGCGCTCATCGGCTACTTTGACCTCGACGCAAACCGCGTCCTCGACCTCATCCTCGACCTCTTCGCCACAGAGATCATCCGCCACTATCCCTTCTTCCTCGCCTTGCTCTCCCACTCGCCATGGGCCAACGCAGACGCCAACCCCGCCTCGGCCTCCTCCGCCAACGCATCGGCCACAAACCTCTTCGCCGACGTCAATCTCGACCTCTCGCTCGATTCCGGCGACCGCATCTGTGCACAGCTCCTCGGCTTCAAATTCGCCCACTACGCCCACCCGGACACAAAGGATGCAACTCCAGACGAGCTCTACCTCCTCGCCGCACTCCTCATCAAGATCGGCATCGTCCGTCTCGTCGACCTCTACCCGCATCTCTCCCCTTCCCAAGACGGCATGCGGAGTTTGCAAACAAAGCACCGCCAAGCACTCGCCGCCAAAGCATCCACCGCACGTGCCAACGCCCTCTCCATGGCCGCGCCTCTCACCGACGATGCCGACCCCTCGTCCAAATTTAAAGACGGCACAAAGGCAAAAGACGAGGCTCCCGCAAAGGATCCGCCAAACCAGGTCGTCGGTCTCGTTCGCGCCATGCTTTCGCTCGGCGATCTACGTCACGCCCTCTTCCTCCTCACTCGCTATCCCTGGCTTTGCTCCGCCTTCAACGAGGTGGCGGACCCCTTCATCCGCTTGCTCAACGTCATCGTTCAGCCCGCCTACGACGAGATCTCCTTCTCCCGCATGAACCCGCCCTGCGCACAGCCCTCCATCCTCTCGCCGCGTCCACGATGGGACCCCAAATCGCAGGCCGCTACTCGTCCGGCCGTCAAGAGCCTCGTCCTTACGCGCAAAGTGCCAGAGCCCGCTCCCTCCCTCAGCTGCCAGCACGTCTTCTTCTACCCGCACTGGACCGACTCCCTGCCCGTGTGCCGCAGTCTCGACGACGTACTTCGCATCTTGGTGCCCCTCCTCAAGGTTCTCGGCGCCAGCCTTTCGAGGGATGCGGCACTCTTCCAAAAGGTTTGCCGTCTCACAAAGGTCGGCTACCGCCTCGCCACAACCGCTGCCGCTGCTGCCACGTCCAATGCACAAGACCCCTACGACGACTTTGACGAGCCCCAAGAGGACAGTCAGAGCCAGAGCTGGTTCGATCTTCTCCGCTTCCACCTCCTGCCCGCCCTCTCGCTTTCGCCATCAAACTCGGGCCTCGTAGACGAAGTGTGGATGCTCGTGCGCATCATGCCGTACGACAAACGCTTCTCCCTCTACGGCCAGTGGAAGTACGACCTCTACCAGCTCCCCGAGCTTCGTGCCGCACAGGCCGCCACCGAAAAGGAGGCAAAGGGCATCCTCAAGAGAATCAGCAAGGACAACATCAAGCAGTCCGGCCGCAACCTCGCCAAGGCTTCCCACTCCAACCCCACCATCTTCTTCACCGTCGCTCTGAACCAGATCCAGGCGTACGACAACCTCATCCAGCCCCTCGTCGAGTCCGCCAAGTACCTCTCGCAGTTCGAGTACGACATCTTTGCCTTCAACCTCGTCGACGCGCTAAGCAATCCCGAAAAGGAGCGCACAAAACAGGACGGCACCAACATCAGCCTCTGGCTCAAGAGCCTCGCCGCCTTCTGCGGTACCCTGTACCGCCGCTACGCCATGATGGATTGCACTCCCGTCCTCCAGTATCTGGTCAACCAGCTCAAAGCCAACAACTCCAAGGACCTCGTCATCATGTCCGAGCTCATCACCAAAATGTCTGGCATCGAGCCGCTCGCCAACCTTGCCGATGCGCAAATCGCCGCTCTCACCGGCGGTCGTCACCTGCACATGGAGGCTATGATGGCCGCCAACGCCCTGACAGGCAGCAAAGAGCGCCTCGCCTTCCGTCGCTCGGGCCAGCGCTTGCTTCACGCCCTTGTCGAGAGCAAGCTCTCCGTTCCTCTCCTCATCCTCGTTGCACAGCAGCGACAGGCCTGCATCCATCTGGTGCCCGAGAGCGAGGCCCATCTCAAGTACCTCGGCAACCTCTACGACTCGTGTCAGGAGGTCCTTCTCCAGTATGTAGAGTTCCTCTTCAACCACCTCGACACGGCCGAATACGCCTCGCTGGTTCCGTCGCTTCAACACCTCTGTGTCCGATTCGGCATCGAGCCCGCCATCGCTTTCTACATCGCCCGACCCAAGCTGGTCCACAGCATGAAGCAGACCGAAGCCGCCGACGCTGCCGAGCGCCTTCGCGCCGAGCTCACAGCAAGTCGCGCAAAGACCAAAGCCGCAGAAGACGACAAGGCGCCTGCGCAGGCGGATGCTGCCTATGTCCTGGAAGAAACGGCAGAAGCCGCGGACAAGGCCAATGCCGCGGATCAGGATGGCGACGTCGACATGGAAGAAGCAGCAGCGCCGTCGCCGACAAAGGATGCAGCAGGCGACAAGACCGAAGTTGACGCCGTTAACAAGGAACTGCCGGACAGCAAGCTGCCGTCTCCCGCACCCATTGAACCCTGGCACCGCGGACTCATCGATGCTATCCACGCTGCCAAGGACATGCTGCCAGAGTCTGCGCTTCCTGGCTTGGGCGTCCACTTCTACGTCACCTTCTGGCAGCTCAGCCTCGCCGATATCAGCGTGCCGATCGAGCGATACCAGCAAGAGGTGAAGCGTTTGAACGCTGTCATCCGCGAGACAGCAGCTGAAGACCAGCGCAAGCGACTTCAGGACAACGTCGGTCAGCTCAACGCAGAGATGAAAGACCAGATGAAGTCGCACGAGGTCACGCGCAAGAGGCTGCAGGCCGAGAAGAACCACTGGTTTGTCGATGCAGCCGACCGAGGTGCGATCGTCGCGCAACTCATCCAGTACTGCCTGTTCCCACGAGCGCTCTTGTCTCCCACCGACGCCATCTTCGCCGGCAAATTTGTCCGCACCGTTCACAATCTCGGCACCCGCAACTTCTCCAGCTTGACCGCCTACGACAAGATTTTTGTTGATCATGTCGCGGCCATCATCTTTTCGTCGACGGAAAACGAGGCACGCAACTACTCCAGATTCCTCTACACCGTCCTGGCCGATCTGAGTCCTTGGCATCGCCAGGCCGACATCTACGCCAAAGAAGCCATCGGCCAGAAGCTGCCCGGTTTCCAGATGCGATGGCAGGATCGACATGGAGGGGAAGAAATTCCAAAGGCGGATCTGTTGACTTGGGACCAGTTTCGGCTGATCTTCTGCAAGTGGCAGGACTGCCTGCAGCGCGCATTCAAGACCTGCTTATCGTCCAAGGAGTACATGCGCACCCGCAACAGCATCATTGTCATGACGCGCATTTCGCCGTTCTATCCGCTCATCGACTCGCACGGAACCGAGATCAGCGCGATCGTCGAATCGCTTGCCGCCAACGAGCAGCGAGGCGATCTCAAGATTCTCGCTCAGGGTCTGTTGGCCACGCTCAAGGCTCGCGCGAAATCCTGGCTGCCTTTGCACCAGGCTCGCAAGGTTGCCAATCCTCCGGCTCCCGCAGCTGCGACCGAGACGGCTGACGACAGCAAAGCTGCACCCACTAGCGCGTCTGCCAAGGTTGACGGTGACGAGCGCAAGCAGCAGGATAAGGCTGCTCCCACCAGCGCCGGCAACGATGCAAAGTCTTCGGTGCGCGCACAGCGAGACCCAGCACCACCGGCATCGACGAACATCAATGGCCGCAGCAGCGACCGGGCATCCGAAAAGACCCCCGCGCCCTCTGCTGCGGGTTCCAGATTGACAGCACCACCGACGGCACCGGGCGGCCGCGGAAACACCGCGACCAAGGTGCCGCCGAGCGCCAACCTTCCGTCGCGCCCGGGAGGCGCGCCACAAAAAGCGGCCGCTCTCGAGTCCAAAGACCGTCGAGGTGGCGCTGCGAGCAGCCAGGCGGATGGTCGGCGGGGCGAGGACCGAGGCAACGCGAGACAGGAAGATGCCTCGCGACGAGGAGGTGGGGAACGCACGCAGGGTACGGTCCCGGCGGGTCCTCGTAACGACGCTTCGCGCGACAACGGTCTTCCGTCGCGGCCTTCGCGGGAGCCCAACTCAGCTGATAGCCGCAGCCGCGGTGGTGCGAGCAACAGTGATCGAGCCACGACGGCTCAAGCCTCGCGCGACACTGCCGATGCGAAGGGTGGCGTTGACGCGATGAATCCCCCGACCGGACCCGCGAGCACAACGAGTGCGCAGGCCGTGCGCAACCGAGCAGAGCGAGACCGCAACGAGCGATCGTCCTCGGCATCCTTGCCTGCACCGAACAAGGACAAGGACACACGTGATCGCAACGACCGACAAGGTGACCGGGACAAGACGCGCAACGCTGAGCGTGATCGTGAGCGCGAGCGCGAGAGAGAGCGCGAACGAGACCGGGATCGTCGCGACCGCGACCGATCGGCTCGGGACCGCGATCGAGAACGCGAAAAGGATCGCGAGCGCGAGCGCGAGCTTGCGCTTCGGGACCGCGAGCGAGCTCGTGATCGAGACCGCGGTGGCAACGCACGGGATCGCGACGATCGAAAGCGCAGTGGCGGTCGCAGTGGCCAGCCCAGTCGCAACGCCACGCCCGTGCGTGATCTGCCCGACGGCGGCGGCGGTCGCGAGAGCGGCTCAACGACTCCTCTTGGCCCGCGCCGAGATCGCGAACGCGAGCAAGCTCAGCGTCCGCGCGACCGCGATCGCGAGTCGGCCGCAGCCACCCCGACCTCTGCGCGCTCCACACCGGGCGTTGGAGCGCCCGAGGAGATCAGCATCCGTGGCGGAGCCAAACGCAATCTGGTGGACCGTCTCGGAGGTGCCTCACCGCGAGGCGCCTCGCCCGCCGCTCGCGCCGGCAAGCCTGATGCGGCCGACCCGGCTTCGGGTTGGGACACTCCGAACGACGCTTCGGGTTGGGACACTGACGAGCCGGCCAAACGCATCAAGATCGACCGCAACCAGAAGTACGCGCCTGCCGGCCCGCCCTCAGCGCCCGCTGCCGAGTCGCAGCGCAACGATCGACGCCCTCAATCGTCCAATTCGAACCGCAACTCGTTCGGCGGCGGCCGCGACCGTCGCGATGGCGGCCGAGACCAGCGTCGAGACCGTTCCGCCCGCCGAGCTGGAAATGAATAGATCCTCACACACATGGAAATCTCACAATTCTCCCAGAGCCCCACTGTGAAGAGAGACAGCAGAGCAAAGCGTTCATTGCATGCAAAAGAAATCAGAGAAGGCCGTGCTTGAGCAGAGCGAGGCGGTAAGTTTCGGCCTGCGACTGCTGAATGGCGAGGTCGCGCTTGAGGCGTTTGTTGCTGAGCATGAGTTCGTGCTGGTCGTGCTTGGTGCGCTTGAGCTCGTTGCGCAGCGTGGCCAGCTCGTCGTTCTCGGGCGCCTGGGTGTGCGAGTAGAGCATGTCGAGCTCCTCGTTGAACGCCTTGTGGATCTCGGTGTTCTCCAGCCGTCCGTCGGCTTCCAGTGTAGTCAGCAGCTCGCATTTGCGCTTGAGTGCCGCAAGCTGGATTTCAAGCTGCTGCTTCTCCTTGAGCACAGCCTCGTCCGGCCCACTGGAAGTCGCGTTTCGAGTCGCTTCGGAGGCCTGTGCGGCTGCGAGGGCCGAAGTGGCCGTGGTGAGATCGTGCATGATGCGGTTGTGCATGCGGATGGCCGAAATCCACTTTGCATCCACATTCGACAGCAAAAAGGCGAGCTTTTTGAGCCGCGCGTGGATGTGATCCACCTCGGCGCTGATCGAAGCGGCCGCGTTCACGTCGAGCTCGGCGAGAACCGCGTCGTCGCCTCGTCGCTTCCGCGGCGTGCGCGCATCGCCGTCCGTGGCAGACAAGCTGCTCTGCAGGATCTCGACATCGCACCGGAGCAGGTTCATCTCCTCCTTGACGAGACGAAGGCCGTGCTCCACCGCCTCGTTCCTGCGTCGCGCCTCTTGCGACTTGGACGCAGTCGAGGATGTGCGCGCGGGAGTCACGGGAGCCTTGCCAGAGGCTGATGCTTCCGCGATTGGCTTTGCGCCGTCAGCGCCGTGTCCTCGCTCCGTGGATGTCTCGCTTTCGGAGATGGACGGCCTCTGCGCCGAAGGCTCCTCCGCCGAGAGTCGGGCCAGCGGGGCGGAGCGTGGAAGGAGCGCAGGCCCCTGCTTCGCATCGAGGTCGTCATAATCACGGCCCAGAGACGGTCGCTTGGTCAGCGACTCGTCCGCATGCGCGGCTAGGCTGTCGTACCCGCTCGACGACAGCGGCCGCTTGGTGCCCGACACGCGCCTCTTGGTCACGCTCGTATCACCGGCGGCGTTCGAACTCGCACGGTCGGCGGCATAGACGCCGATGCTGGAGGCCGGACGCGCCCGGACGGGAGTCGCCAGCTCGGCATCGTTCTCGTCGTCGGTAGCGCTTCCCATCCTCGGCGGAGGCTTGCGACGGATGTTGAGCGGCGTTGTCGGGCCGCTGAAGAGCCAGGAAGGCGAGGGCGGCTCGATGCGCGAATGCGGTCTCGGCGCAGGACTCGGGCTGGTCTGCTCTCTGGGACCCGTAGGCTTCCGACTTGCGGAGCTCGGTGTCCTAGAGAGTTCGACCGACTCTGCCCTCTGGCGTTGCTGGTACGGCGGCTGTGCTTTGGAAGGCGACCAGTTGGGTGTGGCCGCGGCGCTTTCGGTCCGAGCTCTCGCATGAGCCCCCATTGTGCGACCTCCTGCAGCATTCGCTCCGCCCAATTTGCGTGGAGATGCCAGGCTGGATCCAGCCAGAAGCGACACAGGGTCGGGCGTAGCAGCCCTGGCCCGGCGTTGGAGATGCGCATCGTCCTCTTCGGCGCTGTCGGCATCGCAGCGACTCGCGACACTCGAGGGCGGGCCGGCAGAAGACGATCTGCGTCGTCCGAATCTTCGGAATGAGCGAGGCGAATCGGCGTTTCCGCGGGAGAGGGCTTCGAATGCTCCGCTGCGGCTGCTGATGCTGGTACCGGCGGTGGAGTGGGTCATGCCGCGACTGCTGACGGAGGCTGCATTGCTGCTAAAGGTGCTCTTGGACGCGTTGCTGTTGCTGCGACGGGTCGGAGAGCCAAATACGTCGAGATTCGAGATGCCAGCACTCGAGATGCTCGAATTGGCACCGCTGGAACCGAAGAGGAGCGAGCGACCGAAATTCTCGAGCCCAGCGGCTGCTTTGGCTCGGTGGCGGAAGCCAGATCCGGAGGGCGTGCCCGGCTGGCTCTGTGCGAGAGCTTGGACGAGGCTTCCATAGCGCTTCTCGACTTCGTCTGAAAGTTGCACCGCATGATCGCCGAGATCGGCTGAAGCGAGACGATATGGCTCGCCCGAGACTTGGGTCAGATCAGCTCCCTTGGTGCGAACCTGACCCACGAAATCTTCTTCCATCTCATCCACCTCGATGATATCGAGAATGGCATGAGGAAGCGCAGACTCGGAAGTTCCGAGCGCAGTGGGAGCATCGAGAGATAGGGCCAAGGGGGAGCGGCTGTGCTCGTGCTCGAAGGTGGCTGTGGAGTGCAAGTGGAAGTAGATGACCTTTCTGACGTCCGAAGGGTCGGCGACGGGGCGTGGGGGTCCAACCATGGCGTCGTCGCTCATCGTTCGCCTTGAAGCAGGTACGATCCTGCAGCGCGTCTCGCAGCGGCTTTGACGTGCTTTGTAGAGGGCTTTTGCCCTCCAGACGTTGTCGAGGAAGCGCATCTTTTCGAGCTTTGCCGCGACGTCGGCGTCGAGGGTAGAGGAGCCCATCTGAGCGCGAGAGGCAAGCGTCAATGGGGTTGCGGAGGAAGCGTCGACGGCGACGTATTGGCGCAGGGGGCGATTGACCCACTTGTCGCCCGTGACGTGACTGGGCGTGCGGAGGAAAGCGAGCTGGAAATCGGAGCCTCCTAGATCCTGTGCGTCAATGTCTGCGAGGCTGATGGATCCGCGGAAGGCGAGCTCGGGCCGCTTGGACTGTGCGAGCAGAGGAGCATGCGAGCTTCTCTCTGTGAACGTCTTCATCTGGGAGGCGAGTTTGCCGATGTCGTCGAGGCCGATGCGCTTGCGACCGCATGTGGAAGCGCTGGAGCGTTTTACGACGGCGATGCGATCGTCGAAGAGGAAGAGGGAGCAGTGTATGGGCTTGAGACCGGAAAAGGGGGCGATGATGCCGGAGGAAGCTGCCGAAGGATCGAGGGGAAAGTCGTCTACGTCGATGCAGTCGATGAAGCGGCGATGGGCACTGATGAGCTCGGCAGGGAAGGATTCTACGTTTCGGCTGAAGCTCCAGAGGATGGCGGCTCTCTGCGTCTTTTCGTCCGCCTCGCAGCTGGCGATGCGGCTGACGAGGGTGATGGCCTGGTGGAGGCGGCTGCGGAGCGGATCGCGAGCGTCTACGTGGGTGAGGATGGCGTCGATGAGCAGCTTGTAGCGGGGGATGCGCTGGATGGGCTCCATGAGCAGGTCGCGGATGCCAGTGTTGCCGATACCGGTGACCGAGTACTTTGTTCGATCGGCGAAGTCGCAAAAGGCGCGGTGCTTTGCGAGCGTCTGCTCGATGTGCTTTGCCTTTTCAAAGTTGGCAAAGTACTCTGTGTAGCAGGAGAAGCAGGACATGTGGTTGTAGAGGACGTCGCCGAGGCCTGCGCGGAGCGAGTCTTGGCCCTGGGACGCCAGACGCTCGAGATCGTTGAGGAAGGCACGATTTGCGCCTGCGATCTCGCCGATGTTGCCAAAGAGGCGCTGTGCTTCGTAGAGAGGGATGATGGCGGTGTCGCGATCCTTTGCGAGGGTGCGGAGGGGGATGGCATACTTTTGATGGAGGACGTCGATGCGGTTGACGTAGCTCCTTTCTGTGTCGATGAGCTCTTGGACGCGGGCAAAGAGGCGAGCCGAGTCGACCTTGGAGGACTTGGCGCTGGATGGTGCTGTGGAAGCGGCTGGTGGTGCGGGGGAGGAAGAAGAGACAGCGTTGATACTGGAGCCGCTAGCGGACTTTGGCACCGAGCTGTGCTCGTCAGGCAAGCTGGATCCTGCCAATGGATCGGCATCGTGGTCGTGGACCAACTCGCCTAGCCAAGCGGTGAATGCGGCAGCGTCGCTTGGCTTTGCAAGGTTTGCGGACGAAAAGGAGAGTGGAACGCCAGAGTGTGAGCTCGAAGAAGCTTGACCGAGGACGACGTCGACGTAGTAGGCGCGCGTGATGCTGTCGCTCACGCTCGAGCCTGAGAAGTGGGAGGCGGTGTAGGGCACGAGCGAAGGATCGAGTGCATAGGTGGAAGTGGATTGCTCGGGAATGGCAGAGTCGACTTTGGTGGGTGATGCGCTCGAGATGAATCTGGAGCGTGTTGGAGACGATGGTTGGCGGGGCATGTTTGCGACGATGGCGTGACCCGCGCCGATGCCTGCAAACGGCGACCTGGGAGGGTTTC